TTAAGTCAAGATCAAGACCTAAATTACAGCAGACAAACAATCCCAAGAATTTCACTTATCATTCATTCCATTTAAACTTTGCTCTTAATCAAAACTCAGCTTCAATTGCTTACCAAAAACAGATATTTCATCATATTTTTCAAGTCTTAATTTTGTGTTCAAACAATTGGAAGTTGGAACTCTCTCTCTCTCTCTCTCTCTAAATTTGCAATTAGAAACAAGTACAATGGGAAAAGGCCAATGTGTTTTATATATTCTCTTGAAATGGGACCACAAAACTCAAAAAGTAGTGTGAATTTGTACTTAATTTCTCAAAAGATGCTGTGGTGAAGGGCATTGAAACTCCATAAATGCCATATCCCGTACCTATACATTTCAACCTTCCCCTCTTCAAAATTTTCCTAATCTCTGCATCAAACCAACTTAATTTCTTCAGCTAACTCAGCTTAACTTCACCTTTACTTCCAACACAAATCAATAAATAACCTCTCAATTGAAAGAGGCTCCTACCCTACGCCTATCACAAATCGACATTTGAAGCGCTTTTCTAGCGTATTCTTAATAAACTAGCATTTTGTATTATGGATGTAGGTGGGTCCGTTTTTGCAACCAAAATGGCCGTATAGTTCAACATGTAGTGGCTCGTAGCCCATCCCCTATCGGTCCTACCTCCACGCCGCTGCCAGATCTTCCCAAGGAAAAAAGGTGTTCTATAAACTTCACACTCAGCTGCCTCAATCTCCAGGCTTTGCCATATGTATGAAATCAACCTCTCACTATACCAATTACTAAGTACGGCACTTCACATTCAACATTCAATTTGGTTTCTTTTCTTCTTATCTCTATCTGTGACTTCAACAAAAACTCCATAATTAGCAGTTGAGTGTGAGAAGGGATAGAGAAGAGCAAACAAAGCATTAATAACACACAAGGCAGTTCTGCTCGACTGACATACTTTTTTCTGCAAAGCTTCCTTTCCAGCATGCTGAGCTCTATACCTGAATAAGTTGCACCTCTCCTTTGCAAAAGGAACATAAAATTGGCAGTGCTTTTATACCTTAACGAGAATATGTTTCAAAGAAAAGCATATGGTGAAGCCGCTGTGTAATATTTGGCTTTCAAGCCACATAAACAGAGCACACCTTCTTGCTAAAGCTTTCACTGAAAATTTGTCCAATAGAAAAATCTGACCAATTTGTTGTAAATTGGAGATTTTGATGGAGGTTGCTTGGCCTGTTGCAATCAAAGAGACATGTAATGAGAATAATAACTAGCTTTTCATATTTTTCTTCAATGTTGAATATTGGTCTAAAAGTGTGCTCTTGTTTTCTATTTTCTCATTGTCTGATGAAATTTTAGTTGTCTCTTTTCAAGGAAGATTTCCTGAAGGTGGCCATAAAAAAATTGTTATAAAGTTGTGGTCAGGTAATTCTACAAATCGAGACATTACACAGTGCTATTGCCTTCAAAACGTTGACCATCAAAACTGTTAAAGTATAATATAAAAGAAAAAAAGGCATTGCTTGGGAGACTAATAAATTAAAAGGTACGAAATTTCTAAAGGCCATGTGATGAAGAAGCTAACCAGAAAATCTGATTTCCCACGTGTCTCTGATACGGTTGCTTGGCCCGGAAATGGAGATTTTAAGGAATGGATGTTCTTAAGATGCAACAACCAGTCTTTTCAATCTAAAAGAATTGGGATTTTCCAATTTGCCAAAATGAGCTATTGACAACCAATTCTCCAACTTCAAATTCAACCCCAGAATATCTCTGATTGGAGGCTTTGCAACCCACAAAGAAAAAATCTTTGCTTCTTATGTCAGCAATTTAGTTTTCCCATTTTTTTTTTTTTACCACAAGATCAGATTTGAAATTGAAACTTACAATTTGGTACTTTCCTGCCACATGTACCTATACCTTTGTCAAACTTTTCCAATTTGATGACTCAGATTGGCAAAAGTTGGTATTGGTATCTCCTGGATGTGCACATTAAGAGAATCAACTTCAAACAGTAATCAAAATGGATATTTCTATATCTTGTTTGTACCAACTATCCAATCTGAAGGACCATAATTTCTGCAAATCTTAATATCCGATAAGTGGAGAATGAAGGAAATTGCCACTTCGAGTGTACAAGAATTCTCTGAATTAGTCATTATCTTCACATCCACAGGTTTCCTGAAAAACAATAACTTTTAGAAAGAATGAAGCAATCTTTTTTTAATCAACAAAGTTGGAAGATATTTGGGTGTTTCATTTAACCAACCATGATCCTGCAGTACAGACTACAGCCACAACTTGAAGGTTCTGGTTTCACAATTCCTGAATTTGAGACTCATTCAAAACTCAAAAGTAGTACTTAATAAACAATGGTGCACGTGTTTATCATCCCAGAAACCGGAACCAATTTTGAAATCAATGACAATTGATGCAATTAGGACACTGACAAAAAAGTTACTTCTGACAAATAAGTTTATCACACGAAGCTGGGAAGGTAAACACAGTGTGGGACCGAAATCTGACTAATTATATACTACTGGCAGAAGAATGTGTTGATAGACTGAAACTGCTTCGACGGGAACGATCTTTCTTCAACATGGCCTCAATATTTTGGAAGCATTTCAATGGCCTGACCTGTATGTATTATGTTGAAGCCAATAAACCTTCAGAATATTTCCATATTCGGTCCAATAAAAAATGCTAAAAGAACACCTCTGAATTATGCAAGTAGGATAGAATAACTAATGAATCTTGGACAATCTTCGTGTAGAAAATGACCAGAAAGATAGTGCCACGTGAACAAGTATATGGCTTATCTTCCTTATGGATGTACATATCATCTTGTGCACTAAAACAATGCTAGGGAACGGAGCCGAGGAAAGCAGAGAGGCAATGAGTTACCTTCCAGCGCCTCTTATGACCGAATCTGTTGTAAATGAATTCCAGCTGTGATATTATCTGCCTAAATGTTGGTCTCATAGCTGGCATCTCATTCCAGCATTCTTCAATTAGCCTGCAACCAAATTATTTTCCATTGAACAATATGAATATGTGGATTGATGAAGAATTGATTCGACTCTGAAGGCAATTTGCAAGTGAGAAGAATCGTGAAATAATTCTCTAGGCAACAAAAACAGTTCCAAATTTCCAATGCATGATAGCTGGGAGAACCAGCCTCGCTCAAGTGCATATTACCATTATATAAAACAGAACTTCCAAAATTTAAACAAGTAAAAAAAGGGAAATTAAAATCCTGACTAATTCTGACCGATAAGAAACACATGTACAAAAATTATCCACTAAAAGTCAAAAACCCAAGCCCAAGGGCTTCTCAAGTACGCCCCTAATTTTTTAATTTTAAAATAAAATAAGAAACAAATTGGATATTTACCATTGCGCATAACAAATTAGAATTGACATACTTGGGTAGATGACTTACTCTTTGAGTCCATTTTCATAACGTTTAAGTGGTGCTCTAAATGGTGGACGTTCTCCTGCTGCATACAATTTAGGAACTTCACTATCTGGCGTGTCAGCAAATGGAGGACGACCTTCAATCATCTGAATTATATCCAATCACTAATATCAATGTTCAAACTTTCGAAGATAGAGAGAGACTTACTTAAAAGACTGTCTATGTTTCAGATGATTTATATGCTCAAGCATATTGTTCCCTTAAATCCCATTAATGTAGATTATTATTCTCAGAACCAGAGAACTACACGTCAATAGTGAAATAAAAGCATGGATGATACATTTATCTATAATGTGCAAGCATGTAACGCATACAAAACGGTTAAGGAGAGAGAGAACTGTAGCATAAAATTTCAGAAATCAACTGCATATGGCACTATAAAGGAGACAAAACCAAACCAATACAGGTGCAATCGGTAGCCTTTTCTTTTTAAACCTTTCTTGGTCATTATGTTTCATAAATAAATCAAAGAACTGTTTCTCCAAAGAAGAATCTCTCTCATTGCATAAGAGCACAATGGTGCCACGCAATCAACCTTCATGAGGTGTGGCAATGTTATGCAGTTTCTGAACTAGAAAGCCATTATTCATGTCAACGTCTTTCTAAATCATTGAATGCTGCATCAACAAAGATGCTGCCATTCTCTAAAATTAAATAAACTGAGCTTACAAACATGTGCAACCACAATATACAGAGTTTTAGAAAATCATTTGCCTACTAATACATAAAACAAAATACAATTCAAAAGAGGAACATGTACCTCTTGTAGAATCAAAGCAAATGAAAATACGTCCACCTTGGTATCATACTTTTCATTTTTGAAAACCTCCGGAGCCTCATACCTTCCTGTAAATAAAAATAACACACCTGAGTTCCAAGCAATATATATCACGTGTCATTAGACTTCACAAGAATTAAAGGTTGCTGCATCAGTAGGGCAACATATGAAGAGTTATTTATACCAATAAATCGTATATTCCATTTAAAAGGAAAAATAAAAAACTGTGTTGTTGTGTTGTTTATGGACAAAAACAAAAAGTTGTAGATAATATCATAATTCATGACAAAAGAACTCACGAGAAGTCTCTGAACAAGCCGAAGGTCTATCTTCTTTAACTGTCAATAATTTGCTTACTCCAAAATCTGCTACTTTCAGGTGGTCAGAATCATCCCTCAGAATATTTCTGAAATCTTGATCAAAGCAATATTAAGAACTGTCATCGGTTTCAGAAATTTGGTGAAAGAATTGTATTCTCAAGTTCTACAAAGAATGCTATGTGTAATCCACGCTTGTAGGAATGCACAGAATTTTCAGGTAAAAGATCTGTGGTATAAGAAAGCTTACGAAGGCTCAAGATCACGATGAATAATTGGTGCCGGCTTGTTCTCGTGTAAATAATTCATCCCCCTGATTTTTTTCCCCAAAGCAGATGGAAAATTGAATTTAGAGCAATGACTACTGGATACAAGGATCGTATCTTAAATAGCAAGAAGTTTTACAATAGGAATTGTGGGATGCATAAAGAGTGAATCCATCCACCAATCACTATTGACGAGAACTTTACAGATTATCTATAAAATGGTTAATAACTTGGTTTCACATGATTTATTAAGTTGAAAGTCCCGTCAACAGCTCAACCCAATTCTCGTTAATCAAGTGTTCTGATTGCTTTATTTCCAAGGCTGCTTCATAATGGTACTAAGTTTTACTAACAACTCCCACGAGAGGACATGAAGCCCAAATAAAGCTAAAACCTAGCATGTAAAAACTTCTAAGAAACCATGATGACCTAAGAAACCATGATGACTCTTTTTTCTGTTCTTTTACTATTATACTTCAAAGAAATCAGTTTTTTTTTTCATTAGATCCGAAGTTAGAAATAGATATCACCTTTACATAGTTTATTAGCTCTAGAGATGAAAAAATAGATTGCAATATAATGTCCCACTTCAATAAAACTTGACTAATAACGGAAACTGCATTTCTAAATAATAATTATGTATAGCAGCCCAAATTAAGTTCTAAAAGATTAGAACAAGTAAAAACTCCTTAAATTGAGAGACAGACCTTGCAATATCAAGGGCAAGTCTCACAACAGTCACTGTTTTTATTGCTCCTTTTCTTTTCAATAATGCTCCAAGATCTCCCTGTAACAAAAACAGCACATTACAAAATTCAGTCAAGGTTCCAATTTAAATTTATCAATCTCTGAATTAAGTATATCTCTCTATTTTTCCACATTGAATGATTGGAAAAACCTTAGGCAAATATTCTGTGACGATCATCATCGGGCAACTTTGAGTAACAGCACCTAGAAACTGGACAACATTGGGGTGTCGTATTTTCTGAAGCAATGCAAGTTCATCCCTGAAAGCCCTCCTGTACAAAAAAACTGGTCTAAGTGCCATAAAAGCTACAAAAAGATGTGAAGACCAAATAGGGAGATTTAAGGACCCACACTTTATCCTCATCAGTGAACAGGTCTTCTCCAAGCTCTTTCACAGCTACCTCAGTTCCACGCCAAGATGCTACTCGGAATGTTCCCTAGAAGTGTTTCCAATATGCAAATGACTAAATGTTTGAAGGCAGAAGATGGAAATAATAGAACCTAGTTAATAAAACAGTCTAAGATAACTCTAGCTACTGTGACAGACAAATTAGCATAATGAAAATGTTGAATCGAACACGTAAAATTACACTTTACCACGACTTGGAATACTGTGGTTCCAAAACAAAAATTCCACAAAATATGAACGAGGCATGGCAACTGGCAAGTTATATTTCATTGATATACAAGAAACTAATTCTGAGTATCTCTTGTCCATCCGATGATATATGACAAATAGAAAGACAAAACATAAAATCAAAAATAAATTTGGAAAGAAATGAATTTTCACCATTATTTTATTTTCTTCCATTTTCATTAAATACAAGCACATGGGATTTTACCTTGGAAATGTTCACACTGTTGGTAAAATCAAGTTCCTCGGGATCAATTTCATAATCTGGCACTTCACGGGCATTCTTGACGAGCATGGGGGCCACCTGAATTGGACCATTACCTTTCCCAATCAATCAGAATTCACCAAAATTGTGATCAATCATACAAAGTTATGAATTTGTGATCATACCAGAGGCTCTGCACCATGCTTCTCCAAAAGTTTGATCACATCGTGGTTTTTGTAATGTACAGCATCCCTAAGAGGCTGTTAAGGAGGCAGTAGACAATTTAACATGGTACGTATGTTGTCACGAACATTTTGAATATTTAACATTGTATTGCATCAGAAAAGGTAAAACGCAAACAGAGATCAGATCCTGTCCCATATCACCAACTTCCCAGCAACAGATTTTACAAAGTCCATTATGTTTGATGTTACGTCAATACATGTATGAACTTCAATCCACGTGATCGCATAATTGGCCGGACTTGGGATTGGAATTGGAATTGGGCTGGAGTAGAAGTGGAACTACTTTTTCGTGCAGTTCTTTACATGCAATGCTAAATTTAGAAAGGCAGAGAGAGAATACGACATTTTCGATTTCGAAGACATTAGTAATGGAAATTTAGGAGAGAGGCAGAGCAATGTTGTTAGTTACCGTGCTCCCCCAGCGATCCTTGGAGTCAACTTCAGCGCCACGCTCCAGCAACAAAGCAACAACGTCGGCGAATCCCTGGCAAGCAGCAATATGCAGAGCCGTCCGGTCATCGATATAATGGAAATTAACATCAACTCCCGAATCCAACAGTTCCTTAATTCCTTCCAAATCGCCCTCATTGGCTAAATACATCAGCCTCACCCTCGGATCTATCCCCTCCTCAGTTTCGTGCTCCTTGACGAGCTCCACCAAATCATCAAGGTGGCCATCCGGCGCCAGGGACGACTGTTTACCCAACTTATACCTCACCGGACTCTTCATTTGCCCAAATAAACAGCGGAGGATGTCAGAATCAGAACCAAAAGAATGAAACAGGAGTTTGTCCGGGAATGTGGATTGGAATCGAAAGGAAAGGTTTAGGAGGGTGAAGTTAAACCCTACTGTATCAAAAACCTGACCCCAATTGGTCGCTGGATCTGAAGATGCTTCACTGTAATTGTAAATTGAAATTCTGGAGAATCAAAGGGGGGCTATTAGAAAACTGAATAATTAACGAGAAAATGTGAGAGGATCTTGAGGAAACTGGGTGGGCCTGGCGATAATGATGAGGACTGACCACTACTTTGTCTCCTGAGTTCTGAGTTCTAATATGGAAGTTTTAACACGCGCTCGCTAGAAGCGCGTGGATAGGATGCAGCGGATGTCGCTGTGGAGTGGAGTGCTAGTGCTCGTAATTTGAGAAATGGCGATTGCCGTTGAAATTGGTAAAAGGATTTTTTGCCTTTCTTGTATGCTTTCTTTCCGTCCATTACACTCTTATTTCTGCTAAATAAATTGCACTCTTATTTAGAAAAGATTGTTTTTTAGTCCAAAATGTGAAGTTCTACCTTAGAATTTACCATTTTTCTTTGTTGTCAAAAATGTTTCAATCAATTGAATTAGATATTGTTATCAAAGTCAGAGTCTTTCTTTTATTCATTTATCTAAGCTCAACCATGTAAAAAAGATTTGTGGGCTCATAGTTCAAATCTTATTTCCACATGTGCTAAACAATAAAAACGTAAAGAAGATTTGAATCTTACACGTAATATAACATCTTAACTAATTGAATTACATTTAGATGGTTAAATCTAATTCATGTTGTTTTATTATTCTTATATCAATGATTAATAAATACACGTTAAAATGAGTATAGGTCAGCGATAATTGGCATATATCATCATCCAATAACAAGTTGTGAGTTCGATCTCTTACCCCACATGTTGTACTCGGAAAAAAATTATTAATAAATATATAATTAATTCTTTGAAATAGTATTAATTAAATTAATGTTAGCCCTCTGTACTATGGGGATACAAAGGTGGATCCCTATCCTACTACTAATGAGCTTTTTTTTAAGAGTATTACATTGTAAGCAAAGGAAACATATTCAAATTCCAAATTAACAGCATTCAAGTTATTGGCTGACTTCGAGACGTCGAAAATTGACCTAGTTGGTTCCCCTTTACTATGTCAGCTTGGGCCAACCGATGGATCAATAGGTTCTGTCGG